GCAACCCTCAGTGTTGCCCCCGTACCGGACCGGGGACCGGCAACGGGATCGCAACCCTCGGTGTTGCTCCCGCGCCTCGCTCAGCCAGTGAGCGGGAACCGGTCTGTATGTGGGATCCGAACCCTCGGGCGGGAGCGCCGCCGCGCTTCCCAAGCGGCGCACTATCCAGTGCGCCACCGGGCCGGCCCTAGCAATTATTATTTCTTATGTGCTTGTTATGGAGAGGAAAAGAGATACAGTACATGAAAAGTAGTTTGCCCACAGTAAATCTTCAATAATCTTTAATATTGGATAAAAGGTGGGCTTTACCCTAAAAAGTGTTTGTATATGAATAAGGTAGAATATCTAAGCAGAACCTGCAAGAAAACATAAGTAGATGATCTGAATTAGGCGTCACTGGGTGAACCCCTTATCATAGCCCCATATTGACCTAGGTTATCTTGTTGGGGACATTTTCAAGGCCACAGTGTAAGCAGGCGTGGTTTCACTGGGTGGAAGAGGCAGAGATTAGAGTGGCCAGGATTTGAGGAAGGTTGCTGTCAAGAAGCGGAGCCTTACAGAGGGAACCCCAGAAGACTTCATGGAAACTCTTCTTTAATGCTTGGCTAACTCCTGGACCCACAAGTTTAGATGAGATTCCTGGAGGCTGAGAGACATTAGCAACATAAGATTGAGAACTGATGAGAAATTATGAAGCCTGCATAGTTCGGGGGAGAGAGAATTGGTGTTTGGGCACAACCAGAATAGACAGACTTTGATGAAGACTCTATTCATTCAGGTGAAGCTCTGGAAAGGCCATTCTCTATGAATAAAGGAACTCCTTATTCCATACTCTAGGAATTCCTATGGATTTGCCATCAGTCTACACTCTAGGAGTAAGGACAAAATAGAAATGGACTTGCCCTAAGAAAACCCAAAACCAGCCCTGAAAAAGATCAGGGTAATCCACCAGTAATTTAACTGCCTGCTAGGTCAAAATTCTTTGTATGAGGGTAAAGCCCAACAACATGTCATCCACAATGTCAAGCATAAAAATTAAAAAAAGAAAATACAAATGCAAAGAGGCAGGAAAAATTGACCAATAACTAAGAGATAAAATAGTCAGTAAATATAGACTTAGAGATGATGGCAGGCAAAAACTTCAAACTAACTATGATCAATATGTCAAAGAAAAAAGAGTAGAAGAAGGTAGACAAAATGGATTAAAGTTGCATGATTTCAACAGAGAATTAGACTATATAATAAAGAATCAAATGAAACTTACAGAATTACAAAACACCAATATCTGAAAGAACTTGGTGGATTTGTTTAACAGCAGACTAAACACAGCAGAAGACAGAACACGTGGAATTTAAAACAGGTCAACCGAAAGTATTCAAACTGAACATAGAGGGGGAAAAAATGGAAACAACAGAATGTAACAGGGATGCAGGACATGAACAAAAGTTCCAGAAGGAGAGGAGAGAAAACACGTGGCAGAAACAATACTTTAAGATATGATTAAGAATTTCCCAAATCTCTGGAAATTTACAAAAGGAGGATTGGAATCTCTCTCCCTAACTCTAGAGCCAGTAATCTTAACTGCTTTGTTGTTATGCCTGCCAGCAACATCAGCTATGCTGCACTGTCCTTCCAGATGAATGGGATCCCAGGGAAGGCCAGAAACATTCTTCTCTCTACCAGTGAAAATTTTAAAAATTTTTTCAACAGTGCTGTTTTTTTTAATTGACTTTTACAATTTCTAGTTGACAGATAATAATTGTATGTATTTGTGTGATACAGTGTGATGTTTTGATATAGGCATATATTGTGTAATGATTAAAATAAGCTATTTTTTAAAAAAGCACTGCATGTTACAATACTAAAAAAAAAAAAAAAATTATCCAAATCTGATAGATGACATTGACTCACAGATTCAAGCAATTCTTCTATTAGTACATAGGATAAAACAAAGAAAACTTCACCAAGGTATATTGGAACTAAACTGCTGAAAATGGAAGATAAGGAAAAAATTTTAAAGCAACCAGTAAAAAGAGACACACTATCTTCAGAAGAACAACATTAAAAAATAATCACATCTAAAGGCAAAAGTATAAATAAAAGAAAAAAATCACTGACTTTTCAATAGAGACTATGGAAGCTGCAATCCAATGGAACAATATCTTTAGAATACTGACCTGAAAAACTCTCATTTAGAATTCTACACCCATTGAAAATTCATTTTAAAAATGAAGGTGAAATGCCAGCCTGTGGCTCACTTGGGAGAGTGTGGTGCTGATAACACCAAGGCCACAGGTTTGGATCCCTATATAGGGATGGCCGGTTTGCTCACTGGGTGAGCGTGGTGCTGACAACACCAAGTCAAGGGTTAAGATCCCCTTACCGGTCATCTTTAAAAAAAAAAAAAAAAAAAAGAAGGTGAAATAAGGACATTTCCAGACAATTAGAGCTGAGAGAATGTATAGTCACTAGACATATACTTCAAAAAACATTAAAGGTTATTCTCTGGGCTGAGTGAAGTTGGAAGCATGGAGGTGCAAGAAAAATAAACAGCCTGAAAAGGATAAATACATGGGTGATGAGGTTCAGCTGCTGATCAGGAAGACTTTCATTCTTATCAAAAACAAACAAACAAAAAAAACACTGGTTATGTTAAAAACTCATATTTTTTTAAAATACGAGAGAATTCTGAGGACAAGAAAATATAAATGAATGGGCCGGCCCGGTGGCGCACTGGATAGTGCGCCGCTTGGGAAGTGCGGCGGCGCTCCCGTCCGAGGGTTCGGATCCCACATACAGACCGGCCACTCACTGGCTGAGCGAGGCGCGGGAGCAACACCAAGGGTTGCAATCCCGTTGCCGGTCCCCGGTCCGGTACGGGGGCGACACTGAGGGTTGCGATCCGTTGCCGGACACGGAAAAAGACAAAAGACAAAAAAAAAAAAAAAAAGAAAGAAAATATAAATGAATGGGCCGGCCCGGTGGCGCACTGGATAGTGCGCCGCTTGGGAAGTGCGGCGGCGCTCCCGTCCGAGGGTTCGGATCCCACATACAGACCGGCCGCTCACTGGCTGAGCGGGGCGCGGGAGCAACACCGAGGGTTGCAATCCCGTTGCCGGTCCCCGGTCCGGTACGGGGGCGACACTGAGGGTTGCGATCCGTTGCCGGACACGGAAAAAGACAAAAGACAAAAAAAAAAAAAAAAAGAAAGAAAA